TGAGAACTATTACTCGAGTAATTGGCGGTCATATGAAGGCATCATTTACTCATCCCTTAGTTCCCTATTCTTCTCGTTGTCGTCAGTGATCGTCAAGTATTTGGACGTAAGTTAAGACATAAGTATTTCATGTATTCATGGATTCATGGATTCATTCATCAGTCGTGTCGTGAGTTTAAGGCCAGAGTTGAGCTCATATTTGAATAATAAAAGCGTATCTAAAGTCTTAATCTTATCTAAAAATATAGTGAATTAATTTATACCGTAATATTAATTCAATAGTGGATCAGTTGTATTAATACACTATTTAAGCAATAGTTTATAAAAATTATTTATATATTATTTATAAATCTAATTATATTTAAAAGTTTTTATTATATGAAGTTTAATTTTAAGTTTAATATTAGCATTTTTAAAAATATTTTGGTAGTAAAATTCTTAACAAGTTTATTGATTTTTTCAGTGTTTTCTTAAGCATAAAGTAATTTTACAGAAGTTTTTCGTTTTATTAAATTTGTGATTTTATAAAAATAATATTGAATTTTCTATGAAATGAATGAGTTTTGTAGAGAAATTGAAAATTATTGATTGAATTTTTTAAAAATTTAATACCTTTGCTATAAATTCATTGACCGATTCTAATGGCTTTTATTTTTGTTATTTATACTGAATTCTGTATATAATATCTCTTAATTCATATTATTTTTGAACGCTCTGTCACTTCATAATAGTATTGTCAATAATTTAAGAAAAACCATATTTTATAACTAAAACCTATTCCGAGACATAGACTGAGGAATTGTTTGATAAAAACAATGATTAATTGATGAAAAGTAGGTTTTTATTGCATATGGTTTTACGATTCCGTGACATCAATGGTATATATATTCTTATGTAGACTTTCCATGTGTGAGACGGCATTAATTATATTACAATAACTTATGACTTGTTTTTTGGTATTTTATATCATTTACTTTTGGATCCAATATTAATTTTATCGCAAAATTATTTTATTTTATTTCTCTTATCATACATTTGACACTCAATTAGAGGTTTATGAGGATTAATATATACCACGAAATTATGTATTAATTATTATTATATTTTGATAAAATTTACTTTTTTTATGCCATATTTGACACTATTTTTGTGTTATACTATAAATTTTTAACACATTTTGTATATTACTGTATATTCAAAAGGAAATGTGATTAAATAATTTTTTGTTTGTCTATTATCTGCTGGAAATAGTTTAGACAAAAATATTTGAAACGTTGAATACATTGAGAGGAAGTATTTATAAGTTTTTCGCACAAAACTGTTTGCTTTAATTTCCAGTAAATTGTATTTTATCTCTATTTTATACCAATGGGTTTGCATATGAATACAAAATAATCGCTTGAATTAATGTAATTTCCTGACAAACCATACACTGATTTGCATTGATTTTAATTTGTGAATCTCTTAATCTAATATAGACTGAATTTATNCGCATCCGTCAATAAAGTGGATAATTTGAGCCGAAATGACATCAGTTATGTGGTCGCGGGTAAGACACCATACCCTCCCTGTCTTGGAGTCGATGTCACTAATAGTTGATCCCTGTGTCACATCTATAGGACAGACCTTTCATACGGATAACTCGAATATAGCGCGCGATTCGGTCTTAACGGCCGGTTTTGATGTCAGCAAAACTGGTGCCCATTCAGTGACAATGGCCTGCATTAGTGCCAATCAGGCCATCACTTCTGTGGCCTCTTTGATCGCCACCAATGAAATCGATTGCGGCATCGGTTGTGGTGTCGACACATTGTCTGATCCGCCAATTCGTGTGACCCGTGCTCTCAGGCGATGGCTCTTAGACATGAATAAAGTTAAGGGAAATTCCAAGAGAATAGGTATGGATTATGAACTCTTTTGCCACCATTTTAATGGATCCAATCATTTCAGGAATGCTTTTCAAACTGAGACCTTCGATGGCGTTTGGCTTCGAGGCGCCGCCAATCGCTGAGTTTACCACAAACGAGACAATGGGTCAGTCGTGCGATCGGGTGACCAAAGCATTCAATGTCTCGCGCGAAGAACAGGACAAGTTTGGCGTCCGATCCCATGAAATGGCAGATAAGGCACAAAAGGCTGGTCTCCTGTCAGACGTGGCGCCGATGTTAGTGCCGAAAGTTGGGTAAGACTTACACCTATTTGTTCATTGAGTAGCGTATGTTAAATGATATCTACTTTGGGAATCAAGTCTTGTAGACAAAGACAATGGGATCCGTTTGACTACCTATGAAAAGATAGCTCAGTTGAAGCCGGCGTTCACGAAGACGGGAACCGCCACGGCTTCCAACTCTTCATACCTGACAGACGGCGCCTCCGCTACTGTTCTCATGTCCGAAGCGAAGGCCAAGAAATTGGGTTTAAAGCCGCAGATTGTGATCAAAGACTACACGTACGCCGCCATCGATCCCAAAGAGCACCTGCTGTTAGGTCCGGCCCACGCGACCACTAAACTGCTTAAGAAGAATAATCTGACGCTAAGAGACATCGATGTCTTCGAAGTGCACGAAGCCTTCAGCGGACAAGTGTTGGCTAATCTCAAGGCAATGGATTCAGAGGAATACTCGCAGACAAAAATTGGTACAAAAAAGTTGGGTTTAATACCGATGGAGAAGCTGAACACATGGGGCGGTTCCGTGTCGTTGGGACACCCGTTCGGCGCCACCGGTTCCCGACTCGTCAACATGGCCTCCAATAGGCTGCTGGCGTCGGGCGGGAAGTACGCACTGATCACCGCCTGTGCCGGTGGGGCGATGGGCCACTCCATGATCCTCGAGAACTGCTCTTAAATCTCAATAAAAGTTTGAAACATTTTTGTAATCATTTTGTATTTGAGTTAAGTTTTAAAGTGTTGTTAAACTTTTATAAACTATTTTTACATATACCGTAATTATAACTCTGATAACTTATCAGTGATAAATATAAAGTACAATTATTTTATTATTTGTAGGAATATTTTTTATGTTTTAAATATTATGTTTAAACTTTGTTTACCCTACATAAAATTTGTTTTTAACTAGGCTCTATTTTCAAGTTATTTAAAATTATTTTGAACAAAAATTATAGCTTTTATAAATTGTTTTTTGAATCATGAATATCATACATATTATAAGTTATTCCGAAAAAATCTCTTAATTTTTATTCAACTATAAAATATTGTAAAAATTGACTTGAATAATTTTGTATTTTAGAAAATAAATTTTTTTTATTAAGAAGTTTTTAATTTTAAAACATTTAAAGGTTAAGAAGAAGTTGCTGAGAGGTCTCTCGCGGGGGTGAATAACCCACTCTCCCATCAAATACATGATTTATACGTAAACTTTAAATGCCAAAATTATTTTATCCTAATTCTAGCACTACATAAGCATATACTAAAACTTTGCGACCTT